CTTTGAATCCCCATGGTGTGATGTCTAACGTGTGCAGATATATAGAGAAAATTCTGGAAGCCAGAGAGCCCAAGAGACAAAGGGCAAAACTGAAAAGGAAGGGAATGTTGGAATAAGGGAGGAGCTGGCTTTTTCCATAGTTGGTTTTGTGTGTGTGTGTGTGTGTGTGTGTGTGTGTGTGTGTGTGTGTGTGTGTGTGTGTATACTTGATATCTGATACCCTACCTCTTGAGCCACACCTCCAAACCCAGCTTTTTAATTTTTTTTCTATTTTTGTTGTTGGTAGTCATGGGCTTGAACTCAGGTCCTGGGTGCTGTTCCTGAGCTTTTTCGTGTAAGGCTAGTGCTCTGCCACTTTAAGCCACAACTCTACTTCTGGTTTTCTTGTGGTTAATTGTAGATAAGAGTGTTAGGGGGCTGGGAAGGTGGCTCAGTGTTAGAGTGCTTGCCTTGCATGCCTGAGGCCCTGGGTTTGATTCCTCAGTACCACATACACAGAAAAAAACAGAAGTGGCACTGTGGATCAAGTGGTGAGCACTAACCTTGAGCTGAAGAGCTGAAGGACAGCATCCAGGCCCAGAGTTCAGACCCCATGACCGACAAAAAAAAAAAAAAAAGTCTCATGAATTTTCCTGCCTGGCTGGCTTCAAACTGTGATCCTTAGATCTTAGCCTTCTGAGTAGCTAGAATTACAGGTGTGAGACTGGTGCCCAGATTTTTCTTTTTTAAAACTAGAATGCACTTGTTTTCATTGGTGCATCTTTTGTCATAATAATGAATGAAGAATTGGTTTGTATAGTTATTGAGTCCTTTCCCCCTGAACATTTTATTATGAAAATTTCTAGCAACATTGAAAGGATTTGCAGTGAAGTCCCTACACTGTTCTACATTTTACTTGCTCTATGTGTGTGTGTGTGTGTGTGTGTGTGTGTGTGTGTGTGTGTACTGGGACTTGATCTCTGGGCCTCTCTACTACTTCTAGCTTTTAGATGATTAAGTAGTGATAAAAAGCTCTTGGATTTGTCTGCCCTGTCTAGTTTTGAACTTCGATTCTCAGATCTCTGCCTCCCAAGTCATTCAGGTTTAGGTGTGAGCCACCAGCTCCTTTCGGCTCCTCTTTCTGCAGCCAACGCACTCCCCAGCTTAGAGGCCACAACTTCATCCTGTTTTGTGTGTCCTTCCAGAACTATTCCATGACACACAAAGGCATATCTTGCCTCTTTATTTTATTTTGTTTAACTAATTAATTGTACTCTTTTTTTTTTTTTTTTGTCAGTCACGGAGCTTGGACTCTGGACCTGGGCACTGTCCCTCAGCTCTTCAGCTCAAGGCCACAAGTGCCCACTTCTGGCTTTTTCTGTGTACATGGTGCTGAGGAATCAAACCCAGGGCCACATGCATGCGGGGCAAGCACTCTACCACTGAACCACCTTCCCAGCCCCTAATTCATTTTATTCTTCTTCTTTTTTTTTTTTTTTTGGTCATGGGGCTTGAACTCTGGGCCTGGGTGCTGTCCCTGGGCTCTTTAGCTCAAGGCTAGCACTCTACTGCTTGAACCACAGCGCCACTTCCAGTTTTTTAGTGGTTTATTGGAGATAAGAGTCTCACTGAGTTTCCTGCCCCAGCTGGCCTTGAACCCTGATCCTCAGATCACAACCTCCTGAGTAGCTAGGATTATAGGCATGAGCCACCAGCACTAATCTTAACAGATTAGTTTTAGTTTTGAGACAGGGACACAAGGCCTGCCTTGAATTCACTATCCTTAGGCCCCTGCCTTCTAAGCTGGGATTAAAGACATGCACTCCCATACCTGGTCCTTTCCTGCCTCTGTGAACAGGTAGACAACACTAGCCAAAGTGCACTGTTCTCTGCTTTGCCCATTAGTTTGCCTACATGCCACAAAATGTACCAGGCTAAGAGCTCACCTCCGTGAATTAAACCCTATACACATCCATGACTTCGGAAAGTTACTCTACTTGGAAGCAACTTCCTATACCAGTAATTCCCACACACAGCTACTACATTCCTTTTTATAGCTGTGTGGTATTACTGCATAAGCCACCACTTATTCAATCAGTCCCCTAGCACCTCACATTTAGTTTATTTCTAGCCTCATGTGACTGGAGGCAGAGCTGCTCATCAGTTTCCATTTATGTGGGTGTAAATGTAGAATTTCCCAAGTGGGAAAATTTTGCTGGATAGCCAGGCACCAGTGGTTCACATCTGTAATCCTAGCTACTCAGGAGGCTGAGATCTGAGGATCGCAGTTCAAAGCCAGCCCAGGCAGGAAAGTCCGTGGGACTCTTATCAATTAACCACCAGAAAACTGGAAATGGTGCTGTGGCTCAAGTGGTAGAGCGCTAGCCTTGAGCTGAAGAGCTAAGGGACAGCACCCAGGCCCATAGTTCAAGCTCCACGACTGAACAACAAAACAAAACAAAACAACAAAACTATTGAAAACACACACACACACACCCCTAAAACAAAAAGGGCTGGGGATATGACTCAATGAAGCCCTGAGTTCAAAATCCCAGTACCACCCAAACAAAAAATCCACCAAGCCATTCTTCATTGTGTATACTTCCTGGCTGCGCTTCCAGAGCCTTCTCAACCTGCCCACTTTTCTGGTTTTCTCTCCTACAAGTCCTCCCACAATGTCTTGTTTAACCTCCCAATATGCTATCTGGGCTACAGGACGGTGAGAAAGCATGACCTAGAGACATTTAGAGGCTCCTGCCCCAGTGCCTACTTTACACTAGTCCTAACTTGTCATCAGTCTCAGAGGCCAAGCTCTTTCCCTCTGCCCATGCTGGGTGCCCTCCCCGCAAGCTGTTGTTTGTCTTTTAAGGTTTTACTTATAAACTACTTCCTTTTCAAAGCCCTTTCTAGAGTCAGCCAAGAAGTTTCAGGGGTTGGAGGTGTGGCTTAGTTGGTAGAGCACCAGCCCATGAGCAAAAGTTTCAGGCAACAAGTTTGAGTCCTGGTGTGGAACAGCAACAACAAAAAAAGAATTCTGTGTTGTGATGATTTGGGGGCTGTGCCCCTCACCCCAGTGGGCAGAGATTGTGCTCTGTCTCCCTCTAGTGTCTACCACGAAGCCTAGCTGAATGGGTTCAGACCCTAAATGGGGTGGGGGTGGGGGTGGGGTGGAGAATTGAGTGCCAGGGGCCCCATAACTCCTTGCAGCCCACATTTAGGGAGAACGCCCAGCTTTTCTAGCTGGAAAGGAGGAAGGAACAAAGTTGCAAGATGGGCGCTGCCTTCATCTAGGGGACGGCTCAGTTGGAGACATTTTGACTAACATCAGCACTTCTCCTTGGGTCCCCAGGGGCTCTAGCTGGTGGGGGAAGTTCCTTATCTGCAGGACTCCTATATGTCCATGGGAACCAGCTGTCCTGCCCCTAGGGAGTTTCCCATCTTGTGATGCCAGGAACTGAAACACCATAGGAAATGATCCTGGCATAGCAGGAAGTGTGGCCCTCTGCTCAGGGCCTGGGCCATCCCAGGCAGCACCCTGTGGACTTCTGAAACCAAGGGGTTAAAAGGCTTTGGTAATACAGTGGTTCTGGGGGTGGGTGGGGATTTTCTTGGGTGCATGGGAAATTGCCTCACCCTCAGAGCTGTGGTGTAAGAACTGGCCCAGTGTTTCTCACAGCCTTGTCACCGTGCCTGGGCAAGTCTGAGTTTCCAACATTTCCTCCTATGGTCATCTCCCCCAGGAACTTACTAAGGTTCCCACTACCTCAGGGCCCCAAGGCCTCTGCCTGGGGGTCTCTACTCTCTGCAGGCTGGAGAATGAGCATTGCAATTCGCCTTGGCGTGGTCATTTCCCTCCAGTAGCTCCAGCTCCCTCACTCAGAAATGATGGATGAAGGAAGGTATTTGATATGAAAACTCCAGGAACCATAGAGTTAGACACTCTAGGAACCAGAGACTTTTGTTGTCTAGAGTGTGGTTCCTCAACCATTTACAGTCACCTGGGTCCCATTGGAGATTGTAAATTTCTGGGCCCCTCCCTTGCTCTTTTGAGTCAGAAACTCTAAGGGTGAGGCTCACCAAGCCTCCCTGGAGACTCAGCTTTGTGCCATAGATAAACCTAGCAGATGGGCACATTGGGAAAACAGACGGAAGCTCAACATACCACCAGAGATTGCTGTCCAGGCTTTGTAAGCTACTCTTGGGAATCAACATGGAAAACACAGGAAACCCAGCAGGAAATGAGCAAAAAGTGTGCATCAACAGTACATAGAAATGCCTGAGGAGCAACTAAGCTCAGGGTGAACAAAGAAATGTCGATCAAACAGCAATGAGATCCAACCTTAAACTTTTTAACTGAGGGGTGACAATGATGAGATGAAGATGTGGAGATCACTGCTGGTGGGACCATTCTGGAAGAATTGACATTTAAAACCCATGAGCTGGCCATGGTGGTACATACATATAATCCCAGCACTCAGGAGGCTAAAGCCAGAAGCTTTCATTATTTCTCATGACTGCCTTGTGAAGAAAGTGTTTTTTTTTGTTGTTGTTGTTTTTGTTTGGCTTTTCCAGTTTGAACTGGGGCCTGGGCACTGTCCCTGAGCTCCTTTCACTCAAGGCAAATGCTCTAACACTTGAACCACAACTCTACTCCCTGATTTTTTTTTTTTTTTGGTGCCAGTCTGGGGCTTGAGCTCAGGCTCTAAGCTTTTGCTCAAAGTTAGCACTCTGCCACTTGAGCCATAACTCCATTTTTCACTTTTTGGTCGTTTATTGGAGATAAGAGTCTCATGGACTTTCCTGTCTGGGCTGGCTTTGAACCTTGATCCTCAGATCTTAGCCTCCTGAGTAGCTAGGATTACAGGCATGAGCCACTGGTGTCCAGCCTGAAACTTTCAGAGTCTGAAACTTTCAGAGATGAGGAAATGAGGTGTAATATTTAAGGAGAATAAGGGGATTCCCTCAAATCCTCTCTCTCCTCTGTCTCTCCCTCACCCTCTCCTTTTCCCTTCCCCTCTCTCTCTTTTTTTAAAAAACCCTAGCTTTCTAATCTGTAAAGTAGGATGAGCAGAGGCGTTTGGAAATATTATTTTTCTTATATTACATTTTGCTTTGTGTGCTTGGGGAATTTACCGGGAGTTCTTTTCTGTCTACCAGCAGGTGGAGACCATCTTGACCTTGCAGACTTCAGAAAGCTGAGTGGCCTCGAGGAGGACTAGAGTCCTGGGCTGAGTGGGACCCAAGCAGAATGGGGTTCCCCGTGCTGACAGCGCCGGCCTCGCGCGCCCCCTGCAGGACACTCTCAGTACTGCAGGGAGGCACAGCCAGCGGCTTAGAGGTAGTTGTCCTCGCCGGTGTCGCCCCCACCCGGGGACTCGTGGACGTCGTGGCAGGCATCGTCCTGGTCGTCGTCGTCGTCGTCGGGGGCCAGTGCCTCGATGTCATGCGTGATGTCTGCCAGCAGCCGGTGGAAGGTCTGCTCCTCGGGCCGCTGGGCCGCGCTGTCGTAGCTGCGCACGGCCGACGCCGAGGTGGAGCTCATGCTGCGCTTGATGCGGCCGAAGCTGTCGGTCAGGATGCCGCCCTCGCGGATGCCCGCGCCCTCCAGGAAGCCCTCGAAGTAGCCGATGTCCTGGTCCGGGATGAAGGGCCGCATCCCTGCAGCCACAGAGCAAGGGTGAGTCCGGGGGTTCGACCCTTTCCCCACAGAGAGGAACTGTCCTCTGCGGAGAGATGCGTTCAAATCCCAGCTCTGCCACAAAGCTGGGTGGCTTTGCCCGAGTTCTTCACCCTCTCATTCATTGGCTGCCTATTCGGAGCCTCATTCCTCTGGGTACAGATAGATCAACGGCCCCCGGGGTTCGGGTGTAGAGGAAATAACAAGGCAATCCTCACCAGGGACACTATGTCCACTTTCTTGCCATCCCTTACTCTCATTTTGGTGCTTTGCTAATCTGAGCTTCAGTCTCCTGACCTGCACAGTGGGGACAAATAGAAGGAGGGGCAGGTAGAAATTCAGAAGAGGCAAGACTTGGCACACTGCTACCACCAAATACATTTGCTTATTCAGTATTATTCACTTGATACTCATAGCCCTTTTCCTGGGCTGTGAGGCCCTGGACAAGTCTCCTAGCCCTGCTGAACCTCCGAAGCGAAGGGTTGTAAGAACCTCTCACTGTCCCCTAGCTTTGATCTGAAGGTGGAGAGGCTCTATTGGGGCTCTGTTTCCTTGACAGCTCTTGGCAAGGCCTTCCTCTTCTCCCTTTCCCTCTCTGTCTCCATGATCTCAAGATCTTGGCCTTGTGGGGCTGAAGGAGAAGGAGAAACAAAGGCACCAAAGTGGGTCTCGGTCTTCTGGGTGGGGGGAGGGTTGGGGCTCACCAAGGAGGAGAAACTTGCGCCGGTCTCCATAGAGCTTCAGCAGGCCCGCACAGTAATCCTGGATGGGCAGCCCCAGCCGGTATTCCCGCAGGAGCAGAGCAAACTGCTGGATTTCAGGGGGCCCCAGCTTACTCCGCAACTGTGTGTGGGGGGGTATTGGGGGGCACCCTTTGAGAGCAGTCCCAGGGAACTGTTCCCAACTCCTGCAAAAGTGCCAGAGCTCTCTCTAGGGATGTGTCTGGCTCAGCCTGCCCCTGAAACCCTTCCCTGGCATCAGAGCCCTTTGGCTGCATCTAAGAATGGAATGTAGATTCAAGCCCCACTCCCCGGCCCTTCAGTGACCAGCTCTCCTGTGTTGGGTCTGAGGATGGTGCCTCCCTTGTGGGGTTGCTGAAAGGTACTTAGTGCTTTGTATAGAGCGAGCTGACATCAGTCAAGGACCTTCATAAGCTGGCCTGTCCTCACTTCCCTCCTGCCTGACCTCTGGGGTCTTAGGTGTGACTGCTGAAATGCAATCAGCTCCTCTGGCCTCTAGGTCTTTGCTCATGCTGTTCCCACTCCCCGTCCACTCACCGTGATCATGTAATCCTGTAACTGCTCAAAGCCGGGGCCACTTCGATCGCTGCCGCTGCAGTGGGAGCCATGGAAAGAAGGCGTGGACGTACCGCTGCAACACGCCTCAAACGTGTCCTGGGAGCCATTGCTGCTGGGACAGCGGGAAAGGGGTCTTCATTGGCTAACCTCTGCTCCTCTTCCTGGGCCAGGCTGAAGGCGTGTGGCATGGCTAACCATGCTCTGGGCTTCAGGCTTCAACCTAGTCTCATCTTGGCCCTGGCAACCTCTCAAGCCTCGTTTCTCACCATGCTCCTTCATGTTCTTGCTCCAGTCACCCTGCCTATTTTAGCAGTGGCAGTGACTTTGGACTCAGCAGGCCTCCTGAGCCTGGCTGAGAGGAAGAAAGCCCAGGCTTGGGTAAACCCAAGTCTGGGTTTTGGGGTCATGGGGTCTCTTGGGGGTCTGGCCCCTGTGAGTTCACCAGGGCCCGGAGCTCAGTTGACCTCTCACCCTCAGTGTCTTGAGCCTCAACACACATCTAGGGAAGTCCCTTCTCCTATCACCTCTATAGGACTGAGCCCGTGAGCAGAGGTGAGAGGGCAAAGTGGAGCCCCCAAGGGTGGTACTCACAAGGAGCTGCAGCAGCTGAAGTCGGCATCGTAGGCATAGGTCCCATCTGTACGGCAGCTCTCACCTGGGACCACAGACATGGAGGGACCTTGAGAATGGCCAGCAGGGTTGCTGCTCCCTGGGACCCACCTCAGACCTTCCCCAGGGTTGAGTCCTGCCAAACTTGGGGGCAGCTCAGCTCTCTGACCATGGTTCTTTCTCTTCTCCAGTGCCCAGACAACACTACCTTCCTGCCTGACATACAGGGGCATCAGGAACAGTAGACGAGGGGGCAAGTGTGTTGGGTGGGGTATGACATGCAGGAGGTGGTAGAGTTAACTCTTCTGAGGAGTGTTACACTATTTGCCTAGAACTTGCCCATCCCAGCCTGCTGTGTACCAGCCATGCCCTCTTAACTCAGCTGGCCACCTCAACTTCTCAGTGAGCCTCCCTCATCACTCATCCCCACAGCTGTCAGTGCTTAGCCATTAACTATGTCTGCTACAACCATGTCATGTGCCAACAGGTAGGGCCATGTGGGCTTTAGGTCACAGTATATCCTGGTGATTAGTGCTGGATCTAGCTAGTAGGTGCTCCATTAAGATGGCTGAATTATTTTACACGCTGGGGTCGTGTCACTTCTTTGCCAGTCACCCTTGTGAGAGCTGATTAATAATCTCAGCAGCGTCCACAGATGGGACAGCATTCAGAATGCTGAAGCTATGCCAGCAGGGGGCACTAAGTGCCTTCAGGGTGACATGGGGGTGAAGTTCTTACACCTAGGAGCTTTGGGAACAGACTTGGGTCTTTGTTTTTGTCAGTCAGAGGACTTGAATTCAGGGTCTGGGCACTGTCCCTGAGTTTTTTTCCCCTCAAGGCTAATGCTCTACCACCTTGCACAGCACCATATAAAGTTTTCTGATGGTTAATCGGAGATAAGAATCTTATGGACTTACTTGCCTGGGCTGGCTTTGAACTGTGATCTTCAGATCTCAGCCTCCTGAATAGCTGGGATTATAGGCATGAGCCACCAGTGCTCAGCCCTGGGTTTTCATCCTGACTCTCACACTTACCAGCTGTGTGACTTTGGGAAATGTAATGGCTTTTCTGAGCCTTAATGTCCTCATCTGTGATACTGGAACTATAAGGCTGCAGAGATAAGGACTCACTATGCAGCTCAAGGCTGGCCTTGAACTCAGGATGCTCCTGCCTCAGCTTCTTGAATGCTGGTATTATAGGTGTGCACTACCAGTTCATTCACTCATTTAAACATACCTTGCAAGCATGTGTAGATACCTGTTCCTATGCTAGGCTAACAGGACAAACAAGTTGCTATGAGGATTGTGCTTAATAAATGTCCATTAGTTTCACTCTGTTTCTAGCCCTTGATTGTATCCCTGGCTCACTCTGGAAGTATGGGCTTTGACCTGGGGGCTGGGGGGTGGCTGGTATAGCCTGAGAGCTAAGAAAGCACATTCTGTGTGTGAGGTTTCTGCAAAACAGGGCCATCCAAAACCAAGGGGATGAGCTGGAGCATGACGGGCTCATTCTGAATTTGGCAACCCAATCCTCTTTGAAGAGACTGATTTGAGTCACCACGATCAACATGTCACCTTATCTACACACTAAGATGTGACCCAGTAATTTTCATAGACCATAGGACCCCTAAAAGCCTTCCTCAGCCATTGAGTCCTGGGGTACTCACCCTCTCCCCACCTTTAGGGTGTTTTACAGGAGTTTGGTACTCACTGCGGCTGCTGAGCCATGGCCGTTCTGGTGTGGATGTGTAGTGGTAGCCAGCCCGGTCTACACACTCGATACTCTGGTCCCCATAGGTGATCTGGAAGACCTGACAGATGAGGGCACAGGACTCCTCAGCAGCATCCTGGTCCAGGGGAAAGGTGGGGAGTTCAGGCCACACCCACCACCGCCCCTGCTTGTTTCCTCAGCACAAACCAGTGCCCCTCCCCCCACTCACACACCTATGGACCCCCTTAATACAACATCAAAGACAGATAGTTCTCTCAAAACCATATGGCTTCTGCCTGGGTTCTGTGACCCCTTTATGGAGCCCAGCAACAATGGCTTCCTTCCTCTGCCAGGAAAAATGTACACAAACTTCTGACAATTCATGGACTGTCCTGGAACTTATCTGAAATGAACTCTAACTTAATCTCATGTGCAGGTAGAGAAGCTGATGTCCAGCAAGAGGAAGTGACTATTGGGAATTAGAACTCAGGTCTCCTAATAAGCAGTAGTATGGGGGACAATTAAAAGTATCAAAATTCTTGCCGGACACTGATGGCTCACACTTGTAATCCTAGTTACTTAGGAAGCTGAGATCTAAAGATCATGGTCTGAAGCCAGCCTGGGTAGGAAAGGCCATAAGACTTTTATTTCCAATTAACCACCGAAAAACTGGTAGTGGACCTGTGGCTCAAAGTGGTGGAGTGCTATTCTTGAGCAAAAAAGTTCAGGGACAAGGTCTGGAGCCTGAGTTCAAGCCCCATGACCAAGAACAAACAAAAAAAAAGAGTATCAAAATGTTAGGCTCAGTGCAGCTGCTGCTACTGGATGCCATACATAGATACAGTTTCCTAGAACCCAGTGCAAAACTGGAAGCATGATGAACATATAAATTTCAATCTCTGATGCAAGGAAGGAGTTTAGGTTTTTAGGTGAAAAGTTTTTAAGATTGCACATCCGAAGAATTTATCTCTTCATGTCTTTAAGCAAGAGACACAGAAAGGTAATAACAACGAAGAGAACATTTTCACAATGCTATTTTTTCTTTGTCAGTCGTGGGGCTTGAACTCTGGGCTTGGGCACTGTCCCTGCACTCTTCAGCTCAAGGCGAGTGCTCTATTGCTTGAGCCACAGTGCCACTTCTAGTTTTCTAGTGGTTTATTGAAGAGTCTCCTGGACTTTTCTGCCCGGGCTGGCTTTGAACCGTGATCCTCAGATCTCAGCCTCCTGAGTAGCTAGGATTATAGGCATGAGCCACCAGTGTCCAGCACAATGCTATTTTCTATTTTGTGTCTCAAAAAAAGCTCAAGGTACAAGTGAAGCTGTAGTATAGGATAGGCAGCATGGGAAAGAACCTATCCCTAAAGCAGGGTTGATTTCTTACAGTCACTTTACAAAATGGACAGGGCAGAGAGGATCCTCATTTTGTAGTTAAAGACACTGAGGCTTAAGAGGCTTGCACAGAAAACTCTTGAAAGGACTGGAAACATTGATGGTTCGTGTGGTGCGCATGTGCGTGTGTATGTGTGTGTGTGTGTTTGTCTGTCTGTGTGTGCATGTGATGGTCCTGGGGCCTGGGCTCAGTGTCTGGGTGCTGACTGTCTGAGCTTTTTTTTTTTTTGGTTGTGGGGCTTGAACTCTGGGCCTTGAACTCTGAGCTATCCCTCAGCTCTTCAGCTCAAGGCAAGTGCTGTACCACTCAGCCACAGTGCCACTTCCGGTTTTCTGGTGGTTTATTGGAGATAAGAGTCTCACGGACTTTCCTGCCCAGGCTAGCTTTGAACCATGATCCTCAGATCTCAGCCTCCTAATTAGCTAGGATTTCAGGTGTAAGCCACTGGTGCTCGGCTTTCCTGGAGCCTTTGTGCTCAAGGCTGGCACTCTTCCACTTAAGCCACACCTATGTTTCCTTCAGCTGTTTTAGTGATTAATGGGCTTTCCTAACCATGCTGGCTTTGAACCATGATCCTCATATCTTAGCCTCCTGAGTAGGTAGGATTACAGGCATGAATCGCAGTGGTCAGGCCCTTAGCCCTAAGAGCCCCTATGGTTCAGTGGGACAGACAGGGCACACTGGTGCCTCTGTCTGGTATCTGGCCCTTCCTTTCCATCACTTAGGGCTGAGCCAATTGGAGCCGATGACCACATAGTCCTGATGAGAAGATGGGACCTGGGCCTGGGTGGGGACAGTGAAAGACTTTGGCAATGTTTGAAAAATAATGAGAGTAGATACAGTGTGAGAGAGGGAAGCGTTACTGGAAGGGAGAGGAATAGAACCAAGGACCTGAAAGGTTTCAGCCCAAGCAACAAACAATGAAGGTGCAGTTTTGCAAGGCAAGGTGACTAAGGAATCTCAGGTTTGGGGAGAAGGTTGGGAGCTCAGCTTGGGGTACATGGCAGCCTCAGATGGTCATTATTCCTTGGACTGGAAAGGCTGAGTGGAGATTTGGTTAGAGGCGAAATTCAGGGATTTAAATGACATAAAAGACTACAAATCCAGGGCTGGAAGGTGGCTCAGTGGTAGAGCGCTTGCCTTGCATGCCTGAGGCCCTGGGTTCGATTCCTCAGCACCACATAAGCAAAAAGAAAAAAGCCGGAAGTGGCGCTGTGTCTCAAGTGGTAGAGCGTTAGCCTTGAGCTGAAGAGCTGAGGGACAGTGCGCAGGCCCAGAGTTCAGGCTCCACGACTGTACCCCCCCCCCAAAAAAAAGACTACAAATCCAAAAAATGAATATGGATGCAGGAAAGAGAATCCTGGACCATACGGGGGCACTCCAATTTTGAGGCTGGAGAAAACAGGAAGAAGCCCCTTCCAAAAAGGAACCAGGGAGGCACAGGAGGAAAACCAGAAGATACCAGGTGAGAATGCTTCTCAAGGTGGGGGAAGGGGAAACCAGATGCCTCAGTGGCTCACCGCAAGTAACCCTAGCTGAGAGGAGGCTGAGAGCCGAGGATCATGGTGGGAAAGTTCAGGACTCTCATCTCTTGTTTAACTACCCGAACGCCAGAAATGGAGCTGAGACTCAAGTGGTGGAGCACTAGCTTTGAGCCCAAACACTCAGGGGCAGTGACCAGGCCTGGGGTGCGCGCATGCCCTACCGCTGTCTAGTGTCTGGCTGGTGATCATGTCCTAGTGACACTGTGGTGGTGCATACTCACATGGCTGGAGAGTTACAATCAAGTAAGTGGGGCTTATTAGGGGACGCAAGGGGCGGTGCTCCGTGGGCGTCCAGGGCACACACCTGGGGTCCCAGATGCGGCAGGACCCTTGCAAAGGGGCGGGCAGAAGCTGTGTCCCCAAGGTGCCCCCCGGGCTCACCCTGTTGGCCACAGCCAGGATGACCAAGTTACAGTAGGCATCGGGGCTGGGGTCCTGCGGGTCCAGCGGGTTGGAACCCGGGTGGCGCCGCTCCCAGCTGCCGCCGCTGCCGCCGCCCCCCGCCTGCCGCCGCTCCCAGCTGCCTCCCGGCTTGGCAGCGCCTCCGCCACCTCCTGCTCCGCCGCCGCCGCCGCCGCCCGCGTGTCGCCGCTCCCAGCTGCCGCTGAACGTCTGCCGCCGCTCCCAGCTGCCCGACGCGCGCGGCGCCCCGGCGCGCTGGCGCTCCAGGCTGCCTCCGCCGCCGCCCGCCGCCCGGGCCTCGCCGCCCGCGCCCGAGCCCGCGCCCCACGCCGCGCGCCAGTCCAGGCTGCAGATGGTGTGGCGCCGCTCCGCGGTGCCCACCCGCCGCTTCTCGGGCGCCGCGCCCGGCGGGCCCGCCTCCCGCCCCGCGCCTCCGGGGCTGGCGTCCACGCCGGCCGGCACCGGGTCCACGCCTAGACCTACGGGAGAGATCGCGGCAGAGTCGCCCCGGGGCCCACCTGGCCGCTCGGGGCGGGGTCCCCACCGCGTCCCCCTCCCGACCTCAGGCTCCACCCCCCTGCTTTGGTTCCACCCCCGGCCTCGGGTGCTGGCTAGGCGGTGCCTTCCCACTCCAGCCCTAGCTTCTGACTCGAGGATGGTGTGGCTAGGTTGTCCTCTCCGTCCATACCCTTAATTTGGACTGGGTCCCCCGTTTTAGCACTCCAACCTTGGGACTCGACTTCCTACCCTCCACCTCGCCCGAGGCCTCAGGCCCCGCCCCTAGAGTGTTGATTGGTTAGTGCCAGCATCCCTCATTGGTGAGCCCCGCCTCTCCAAGTGGCCACGCCTACCATACCAAGCCCCGGGTAGGCTTCTCCCCTAGCCGGAAGGTTACGGTCCCACCTGTATTCCCACTGTAGCCCTTCTCCCAGGCTGCCCACCCTTTATCTTCACCCTCGGTCTCAAGCTTGCATATAGCTTCTTCCGCCTGCTTGGAGCCCCCCCTCCCCCCAGATGTGGTCAGCCCTTCAGCACCCACCACCCGCCCTGGTGGCATTCGGGCCGCCGGCCACGCCCACTGCCACCCCTCGGACAGGCCACGCCCATCCCCACCCCTGGGGGCGGGCCCTTTCGCTCTCCCCGCCCGCCCGCGGTACCGGTCTTCAGGACTAGCAGGTGCAGTGCGTCGTCCTGCAGGTAGGAGGCAGCCGCGATCTCGTGCGTGGGGATGCGCAGGATCAGCTCCTCATTGTCTCTCCAGGTGAGCAGCAGGCAGCGAGCAGACAGGCTTAGGATGCTGTCCTGCTCCGGTGTGGTCTTCAGGGGCAGCTCCTTTAGCTGCTGAGGATGGAGTGTCGGGAGATGTTGCAAATCCTGAGCCTAAGAAGCTGCAGGACCATAGGGAAAAGGAGACCCCTCCCGCCTCGTTCTCAGGGCCTCACCCTGGCGGTGTCCAGCAGCTGCAGGAGCTCATCCCGGCTGGAGGGGTTCAGGGAGGAAGTCACCCAAGTCAGGTGGCCCAGGAACTGGATGAGAAACGCGGTATAAGCGGCACAGAGCCATCATCCTGAAGCCAGGAAAAACTTTGGCCTCCTCACTGAGGCAGTGAGGGTGGGCAGTGAAGACAGGAATCTCCAAATTATTAATTACAAAAACCCCAAATAGCTAATCCTCACTACTCAGGAGGCTGAGGTCTGAGCATCCTAAATTTGAAGACAGCCCAGGCAGGACAGTCTGTGGGAAATCCTTATCTCTAGCCATCAAAAAGCCAAAAGTGGTGCTGTGATTCATATGCTAGAGCACCAATCTTGAGAAGAAAAACTAAGGGATAGCACCCAGGTCTTGTGTTCAGGCCCTAGTACCAGCACACACACACACAAAGAACTTTTATTGAGCTTATAATAAAAACCAGACACAGTTCTGAGATCCTTGTGTATATTCATTCATTTACCCTTACTTTAAGGATGACAAACCACCTCACAGTATGGCTAAGAACCAGTGCCAGGATTGTGTACCTAAGAAAACTAAGATGGCTGCATTTGGCAAAGCCCAGACTCTCAACAGCTGATAACATATTAATTTAAACTAATTTAGCTATGAAGTTCTACTGGAAAGCAACACACACACACACACACACACACGCACTTGTACTACAAGACTAAGCCCTTTCATGCAAGGCAAGTACTCTACTACTTAGCTACACCCCCAGGCTCTGCTACTATAGCTTGTAAGAAGTGAGCCCCTGGGAATTTTCTCCCTCTGAGTGGCTCTCACCACCATAAGCATTATTGCCAAAGGAACTACAAATTACTTGTCCTCTTAATGATCTCTCAACAGAAGTCAAATGGAAAAGACAATGTATTGAATTAATATATCATTTTGGTAGAAAAATGATGTTTCAAATCGATATATTAATTCTCCATTTATTCTTTATTGTAATGATGTTATCACGTAAATGTTATTCAATACAAGAATTAACTTTTTCATTATTTTTAATGGCATCTTTCTAAGTGAATTTCACCCATCAAACCTTTTCCTCTTCTTTTAATTCTCCATCCAAGTTCAGCCCTCTGTTTTAAAGTAAACTTACTCATTAGCTTCACTCTCTAGGCAGGGTTGCCAGATAAAATACAGGATGCCAGTTAAATTTGAATTTCAGATAAACAACAATTTTGTTTTCAGGCTCTTAGTACTTTTAGTTCTGTGCAATAATTGGGACATTTTAATGCTTTTTTAAAAAGTATTCATTGCATTTGAAATTCCAATGTAAGTAGGTGGCCACTACATCTTGCTGTTTGCTACATCTGCCAACCTACCCCATAGCAATCTTCCTTAAGTATTGAGAAACCCTTCTATTCCTCACTGTTCCTTCAATGTGGACTGAAATAGAAGTAAAGTTCTTGAGTACACAGAGTCTTTTGAGATTGACCCAAAGTCCCAGAGCATGCTAGGTGAATGTTCCACACTGAGCCACATTCCCTACTCTGTCTCAATCCGGACACTGCACCTGCAGCAACACCTCATGGGAAAGTAGAATTTTTCAGTTCACAACACACTCTCCCATCCAGTCTCCCCTAATGTAAGTTTTGAGCCCTGTGTTGGGATGGGAACACGGAGGCTCCATGGATGGAGGTCATCTGCTGAGGGTGCGTGGCTTAAGTGGGGACTGGCTGTCATGAAGCCAGGCCGTTGCCACTGCCTCTGCATGAGGCTGAGCTGGTTGGATTAGCATGGGAGAGGAGATAGAGGCTCTCTCCTGACCCCAGGGTTGTTCCCACCCCCTCCCATCCTGCGCTTACCTTGACCTCTTTCTCCAGGTAGTCACACAGCAGAATCTGGGGGTCGATGAGATAATCTGGAGGATAAAGGGGCATGGAGTGCAGGGGCCGGCGGCTCACACTGTTCCGAAAGGCTGCTCGCCGTGCAGACTTGGGGAATACCAGCTTTCGGATGGGGGACACAAAGCCCTGGGGAAAGATAGGAGGGATAACAGTAATTATACCACTGATTTTATGGACTTACTATGCTCACTGTTTTACTTTCATGACCTAAAATTTTTATTTTTTTTAAATTTATTTTAATTTATTTTTGGTTCGTTGTGGGTCTTGAACTTGAGGCCTGGGTGCCATCCCTAAGCTCTTTTGTTTAAGGTTAGTGCTCTACCACTTTGAGCTACAACTCAATTTCCAGTTTTCTGGTGGTTAATTGGAGATAAAGAGTCTCATGGACTTTCCTGCCTGGGTTGACTTTGAACCACAATCCTCAGATCTCAGCCTCTTGAGTAAGAACTAAACTTTTTAATTGGGAAAGGGCAATACTGAGCTTTGAATTCAGGGCCTTACATTTGGTAGACGCTTGTATTTCCACGTGAGCTGTGCCTCCCGCCTTTATTGCTTTATTTATTTTTTTCAGATAGACTTCTACTTTTAGCCTAGGTCTGGCCTCAGAACAAGCTCTTCCTCCTACTTGTGGGCCCCCCCCCCCATTGCAGGGATCACAGGTATGACTACTGTACCCAGCCTATCTGTAGAAATAGAGCCGTACTAACTTTTTGCCCAGAACCATGGTCTTCCTGAGCTTTACCTCCCAGAGTACCTGGGATTACAAGCTTAACCAGGTGAGCAGTTAATCCCCACCTTGGGTGTCCAGTCTATACCCCAGGCTAAGCGAATCAGAAAATCTGGGCCTTGTATCCAGGCCCAGCGCTTTTGAGGGCTCTTTAGGTGATTTTAGTGGAAGCCCAGCTGCAGACCATGTGCGCATATAGAGAATGTGTGGTGTGATTGCTTCTCATCAATGACAAGTTTAAATAAGATAACCTTCCTGCCCCAGGAGCTCACTTACAAGTCCACAAGAACATTCGCTCATTCTTTCAGTAAACACTCATTGGTTGCCTGGATGTGTGGACTCTCTCTTGGGTACTGACCCTAGCCTTGCTTCCAAGGCTTGTGATAAATGATCTTCACAAGTGACTCTCAGATCTCACTGTGCCCAGAAGTTCTGACAGAAGGTCTGGGGTGGGAGTCAGGATTCTTCCTTTCTAACCAGCTCCAGCCAGTGCTAAGGCTATGGGCTTAGCAACCAGGATCTAAGGCAGCAGTTCTCAAGGTGTGGTCCACAACCAGCACTGCCTGGGATCTTGCTAGAAATGCAGATTCTGCCAGTGGCTCATGCCTATCATCATCCTGATTATTCGGGAGGCTGACATTTGGAGGATCATAGTTCAAAGCCAGCCTTGGCAGAAAAGTCCAGAGACTATTATCTCCAATTAGCCAGCAAAACACAAGATTGGAGGTATGGTTCAATTAGTAGATAACTAGCCATGAACAAGGATGCTGAGAGCACAAAGCCATGAGTTCAAGCTCCTGTACCTGTCCAAGGACCAAAAAATAAAATGTGCAGATCGCATTCCAGATTTGTTGGATAAAACACTGGAAGAACACTGAGGCCAGTGCAATTTGCTTAAGTTTTAGAACCCATCTCATGGCACCTGCGTATGAAAGCTTTTAGATGAACATCAAAGAGCTGAGAGGTGTTTCAAGAAGAGAGCACTGAATGTACAAATCCCTGGAGGCTAGATGTGGATGAGCCCAGAGAAGGCACATGCCATCTGCTGTGGCTCGATTATGAGATAAACAAGTCCTGCAGGCCTTAAAGGCCAGCTGCAGAGCAAAGACTGTTCTGCATAAGCGAGTCTTTTTTTTTGGGGGGGAGGGTCCGGTCGTGGGGCCTGAACTCCGGGCCTGGGCGCTGTTCCCTCAGCTCTTCAGCTCAAGGCTAGTGCTCTACCACTTGAGCCACAGCGCCACTTCCGGCTTTTTTCTTTTTGCTTATGTGGTGCTGAGGAATCGAACCCAGGGCCTCAGGCATACAAGGCAAGCGCTCTACCACTGAGCCAACTTCCCAGCCCCATAAGCGAGTCTTGTGGAATGGGATGGGACGTTTGTCTGCCACTCTGAATGGTCCAACCTTGCCCACCTCTCCAGCTTCATCTATCCACCCTGACCCCTCACTCCTATCTCCTAGTCAGCTGACCATCTTTCAGTTCCTTCTATGCTTCATTCCTTTCCAACACAGGGCTTTGCACAAGCTTCTCCTCTGCATCACTCTTCCCTGCCTACTTTCCTTCCTCCTACCAGGTCTCAGCTCCAACTCACTCATCCAGGGCTGAGTACCGTCACTGTCTATCTCCCACACTGAATATGGGGCTTTTTATTATTGGCTTTAAAAATTATTAGTTGAGACCGGCACATGTGGCTCAAACTTACAATTCTAGCTACTCAGGAGGCTGAGAGCTGAGGATCCAGGTTTGAAGCCAGTCCAGGCAGGAAAATCCATGAGATTCTTATCTCCAATTAATTATCCCCCAAAAAGCAGGAAGTGGAGTTGTGGCTGAAGTGGTAGAACACTAGTGTTGAGCAAAAAAGGTCAAGAAGCCAGCTGCTGGTAGCTCACGTCTATAAATCCTAACTACTCAGGAAGCTGAGATCTGAAGATCATGGTTCAAAGCCAGCTTAGGCAGGAAAGTCTCATGACACTCCTAGCTCCAATGAACCACCTGAACACTAGAAGTGGAGCTGTGGCTCCACTGGCAAAAGAGCTCAGAGACAGTGTCCGGCCCTGAATTTAAGCCCCATGACCCTCCAAAGGGCAAAGGTCAAAGGTCAAGGAAAGCATCCAGGCCCTCCCTTTCTCTCTCTCTCTCTCTCCCTCACACACACACACAAACACCAATTTAGTAGCTGTTTCCCACATTAGACTGTGCACTCCAGGGAGAAAGCAAGGACTTTTCTTGAGTTTGCTCACCGCAGCACAGCATCACCAGCACCAGGCTTTTCTCAAGGTGCTCAATAAATGTCTGTCAAAAGAATGAGCTAAGGCTGACCGTGGGGTTCCTGCCTAAAATCCTAGTGATCAGGAGGCTGAAGCAGGAGGATGGAGAATTCAAGCCAGCCTAGGCTACATAGTGAGACACTGTCACACCAACAAAATGTACCACAAGAGGCTGTGCCTGTGTGCTGGGTCCCTCCTGAGCCCCTGTGGCTCACGTAGTACCTGTTTAAGAACATGCCTCATGCAGGTTTCTGGAGAGTAAGGTCTCTGTTGGGGGAGTGTGGGAATTTAGAATTTGAGGAGCTCCTGGAGCCCCTTTGACAACCAGAGAAACCCAGAGAAACAAATGGGAACACTTCTCAGAGTCAGAAAGGGTGAGGTTGGGAAGGAAGATTAGGTGGCTGAGTCCTTAAGGGGCTTTTGTAAAAAGCTAAGGAAGGCCTGGCTGCTGGCGGCTCACACCTATAATCCTAGCTACTCAGGAGGCGGAATCTGAGGATTGCGTTTTGAAACCAGCCCAGGCAGGAAAGTCCACGAGACTCTTTATCTCCAATTAACCACAAAAAGCTAGCAGTAGAGCTGTGGCTCAAGGGGTAGAGAGCTTTCCTTGAGCAAAAAGAAGCTCAGGGACAGCTCTCAGGCCCTGAGTTCAAGCCCCAGGACTAGCCAAAAATAAATAACTAAATAAGAAAGGGTAGGTGGGAGACCCAGACCTGGACAAATGACCTTGTAGCACAGGATTGCCCTGCCTGGTCCCTGGATCTGGTGCTAGTGTCTGTAGGGGGAGCACCCCAAATCACCAGGGAAACATTTCCTGGCAAGGTTCCAGTCTGATTGTTCAGCATGACGGCAAAGGCCACTGAGAGGGGAGAAACAACTCAGGGAGTTTCGTGTCAAAATGTCTGACAGCCAAGGAGGGGAAAGAGGGTCCTGGTCCCACGCGGGCTTCTCGCTACCCTGCCAGGCACCCCCCTTCCCCAGCTCTGGGGCCTTCCTCTACCCCACATCCCGCTCCATCTCTCACCTACCTTCTTCCCTTTCTTGACTTCATATTCCATGGTGAAGCGCCCCTCTACTCCTGTCACCCTCCAGGCCACCCCCTCCACCCCTAGTTCCTTTGTTCTTTTTCCTGCCTGGTCGGAAACTCCACCAGCACTGAGTTCCTGCCCCTCCCATCCGATGGCGGGGACATGGGGCGGGTGTGTGTGTGTGTGTGTGTGTGTGTGTGTGTGTGGAATGGAGGACACAGCCTCAAGACCCTCCAGCAAGCAGGCATGCTGTCCAGACAGCGTAACAGTTTGGGTAATGCTGGGGAAGGGTCCCCGCCCCCCATATTTGGAGGCTACTTACATTTGGAAAATCTTAAGTTCTAATTCTATTTCTGCCACTGGCCTTGGTGTTCACATTGGCAAGAAAAGTCCATTCCCCATTTTGGAGCCTTTGTCTCCTCTCTTTTCCTGGGCAGAGAAGGCATGAGAGACTAAATGAGAAATGCTCATAAACCACTCAGAACTGTATCCCAAAACATAGTCATTACTCTTTTTTTTTTTGTCAGTTGTGGGGCCTGAACTCAGGGCCTGGGCACTGTCTCTCAGCTCTTCAGCTCAAGGCTAGCACTCTATCACTTGAGCCACAGCGCCACTTCCAGCTTTTTCTGCTTATGTGGTTCTGAGGAATCGAACCCAGGGCCTCATGCATGCAAGGAAAGCACTCTACCACTGAGCCACCTTCCCAGCCCGTCATTATTCTTTTTTGTTGTTGCTGTTGGTAGTGGGTCTTGAACTCTCAGCCTGGGAGCTGTGCCTGAGCTCTTTTGCTCAAGGCTAGCACTCTACCACTTTGAGCCACAGCCCACTTCTGGTTTTCTGGTGGTTTATTGGAGATGAAAGTCTCACAGACTTTTCTGCCCCAGCTGGCTCTGAACCTCAATTCTCAGATCTCAGGCTTCTGAGTAGCTAGGATTACAGGTGTGAGCACCAGCACCTAGCTCATAGTTATTACTCTATAGGGAAGCCATATTGTGCACTTTGGGGATTCTGTGGCTTTGCGACTGACTAGGGTTATGAGACCTTGGGCAAATTCTTTCACCAGTCAGCCTCAGTCTCCCCTTCTGTAAAATGGCCAGTAATGCTAGCTTGACCTCATAGTGACTTCGTGAGTATTAAATGCACTTAGGAGAGATTCTTTTCTTTCTTTTTTTTTTTCTGGTCGGTTGTGGGGCTTGAACTCTGGGCCTGAGCGCTGTCCCTACGCTCTTCAGCTCAAGGTGAGCGCTCTACCGCTTGAGCCACAGCGCCACTTCTGGTTTTCGAGTGGTTTATTGGCGATAAGAGTCTCACAGACTCTCCTGCCTGGGCTGGCTTTGAACCTCGATCCTCAGATCTCAGCCTCCTGAGTAGCTAGGATTACAGGCTTGAGCCACCGGCACCTGGCATAGATTCTTTTCTTTGTTAAGGTCTGAGACTGAGACTTGAACTCAGTACCTGATGTTTTTGTTCAGTGGCTAGTGCTCTACCAACTGAGCCACACCTCCAACCTCATACTTAGAAGCGATTCTGACACATTGTAAGTTTATCTTCTCTCCTCCTCCTCCTGCTCCTCCTCCTCTTCTTTTTCTTCTCCTCTTCTTCTTCGTCCTCATTCCTCTTCCTCCTCCTTCCTCTTTTTCCTCCCCCCCTCCTCTCTTTTTTTGGATACAGGGTCTCATTATGTACCCCAAACTGTCTATGAACTTGTGATCCTGTTGCAAAAACCTCACAAAATACAGGTATGTGGTATCATGTCTGGCAGTACTCAGTAAATATTAACTGTTGGAGCTGGGGGTGTAGCTCGATAGTAGAGCGCCTGTTTAGAACCTGTGAGGCCCTAGGTTCCAACACTGCCAAAAATAAAAATAAATAAATGGACTATTAATCTATGCCTGGGGGGCTGTTAGACTGCCTCTTGGAAGGGCAAAGGTAGAGTGGGGAGAGGGCCTCTTGTGTGCCTGTGCTAAGCATTTTACACAAGCCATACCACTCCTTCCTCATGGTGTTGAGGAACCATTACTTACATTACAAATCTCATATTAAAAACCGAGATGTAGCTGGAACAGGCTTATGCTTGTAATCCTAGCTACTCAGGAGGCTGAGATCTGAGGATCAGAATTTGAAGCCTGCCAGGGCAGGAAAGCCCGTGAGACTCTTATTTCCAATTAACCACCAAAAAGCTGGAAGTGAAGCTGTGGCTCAAGTGGTAGACTGCTAGCCTTGAGCACAAAAGTTCAGGGACAAGAGCTCAGGGCCTGGAGTTCAAGCTTCAGACCAGCATGTACATGCACATGCACGCACGCACACACGCACCCCCCAAAACCCAATGGAGACACCAGTGCAGAGCCTAACCCAGGAAGGTCACACAGTAGGTAAGGCGACCGGCGCTCCTGGCTGGTTTGGGTCTAGTGCCCTTTCCCTCTGGGTCCCAGGCCTGCTGCTTGTCTTACCCAAGATGCTTGGCAAGGCTCTGAGTGGTCCATCCCCACTGACCATCACACCAGGGTTGTGGAGCCCCACGCTCTGCTCTGGAGCTGCTTTGTTGTGCGGCCCCTGGGCCAGGCTGCTTTCTCTAAGCTCTCAGGATCATCTTCTCCATGGGAAGCAAGGTCCCCAGGGGCGGCAAGGCCATGGAAGAGGAAGCAATGGGGAATTGTGAGGGCAGGTGCAGGGCTGCGGGCTGGCTTGCACAGTGTGTTTAAAGCATGACATGTCAGGTCTGTGTTGTTTGGCAGTGCCGGAGGGCCAGGCTCCTGTTTGTCTCAGAGTAAGGTAGCTATGGAGACTCCAAGCCCCCAGTCCCTCTCTCCTTTCTCTCCCCCTCCATCAGAGGGAAGAAGGCCCCAGCCTCTCCCTCCTGCTCTGCTCCATGCTGCCAGCTACCTCCCAGTGGCAGGAAGTGAGAGCTCCACTCAGCCTGCTGGGCCAACAGGAAGAGGTCAAGATGTGTGAGCCGAGCCCTGGCTCTGCTCTGGACATCAGAGTTGCCGTTTAACCCTGTAAACCAGCCCAGAATTCCCACCTTGCTGGAAATCTCAACTAGTGCAAAATATGTTTTTGTTTTTGTGTTTTGTAGGTCCTGGGGCTTGAACTCTGGGCCTGGGTGCTGTCCCTCAGAAATCCAGCTCAAAGCTAGTGCTCTACCACTTGAGCCACAGCCCCACTTCTGGTTCTCTGGTGGTTAATTGGAGATAAGAGTCTTATGGATCCCTTCCCAGGCTGGCTTTAAACTGCTATTCTTAGATCTCAGCCTCCTGTGTAGCTAGGATTACAGGTATGAGCCACTGGCACCTGGCAAGAAATGCTTTTTAAAAAACTTTTGTTGTTTTTTGCTTGAACCTCGGGCTTGGGTGCTTGACTCTGAGCTTCTTTTGATCAAGGCTAGTTCTCTACCACTTGAGCCACAGCACCACTTCCAGCTTTTTCTGAGTAATTTATTAGTGAGAGTCTCATGACTTTTTCTGCCCTGGCTCTGAACCATGATCCTTAGATCTCAGTCCCCCTCCTGCCCCCAGCATCCAACACAAGAAATGTTTTGAATACTACTAGATGTAGAAAACGATCTCTGCCTTCCCTGTAGTGCCCACCTCAGATCCATGAGCAGACAACTTGCTTAGTCTCAAGGTTAGTAAAGTAGTTGCAGACAGGAGGACCTAGGTTCAAAGGGAATGAATTTGCACGTGTTTACCTAATCTCCCAGAGCCTCAGAGTCCTTAGGGGTCAAAAGCAGGATAGTTCTGATGCCTGCCTCAGAAACTAGTACAGGGGCAGAATGAGAACAGAAGCACACAACAATCGCGTGTATTACTGAAAATAGCTCGTGAGTCAAAAATGAGATGAGCCAAAGCCTCTGCTTTCAAAAGTTTACTACGGCAGGTAAGATTCGAGTCCAGTTGATTGGCAGGGGCTGTTGGGAGAGGTGTGTAGAATAAAATCTAGATCTGGCTGGCTGGAACCTAATGGCTCATACCAGTAATCTTAGCTACTCAGGAGGCTGAGATCTGAGGATTACAGTTCAAAGCCAGCCTGGGCAGGAAAGTCCATGACTCTCTTATCTCCAATTAACCACTAAAAAGTGGGAAATGGAGCTGTAGCTCAAGTTATACAATGCTAGCCTGAGGAGAAAAAAAAGCTCAAGGATAGCACCCAGGACCTGTGTTCAAGCCCCAGGACTTGAAGGTGCCAGGATTGGCACCTAACAAAAACCTAACGAAAAATAGATCTGGGAGCTGGGAAGGTGGCTCATTGGTAGAGTGCTTGCCTTGCAGGCATGAGGCCCTAGGTTCAATTCCTCAGCACCACATAAGCAGAAAAAGCCGGAAGTGGGGCTGAGGCTCAAGTGGTAGAGCGCTAGTCTACAGCTGAAGAGCTGAGGGACAGTGCCCAGACCCAGAGTTCAGGCCCCACGACCAACCAAAAAAAAAAAAAAAGGAAAAAATAAATCTGTTCCCAGCAGGAGAAAGAAGAAGGGGATTGATTAGCAATGTCTGGCTGACTGATTGAGATTCTATCCAAATCAACAGGGAAGTTTGTCTAATGCCCTGCCTGTTAGACGTTACTGGAAATTGAACTCAGGGCCTTGAGTTTGCTTAGGCAACTGCTCTACCATTTGAGTCATACTTTCTGCCTGTGCTTTTCTGTCTGGCAGCCACAGGAATTGTGGTAGAAGGAAGCCTTCCTCTCATCCTTTCTCCACCCCCCACCTCTTCCAGAGCAGCCAAAACAATAGGACACAAGCAGCATGTACTGAAATGATTTTTAATATCTCATGTCGCAGCAAAATTAAAAATATACAAAAAGTTTGTGGTGTACAAAAGTCTCAGTACAGAAGCCCCAGCTTGGCCCCCCTCCCTCCTGGGGAAGCTCAGAAGGGCCAGCTTGTTGGATGGGGGGTGACTGGGAATGGCACAGATGTAGTCAATACCAGGCGGTGAGACAGAGAAGAGGAAACAGAAGTGGGCAGCAGTTGGGGCTGAGCGAGGAGGGACAGGAGAATCACCCTACATTGTGCTGACAGAGGGAAATTGGCCCCTAGGGCATGGCTAGTGGCTCCTAGAGAAAAGATGGTA